GTGGATAAATGATGAAGGAAAGAGGGAGCGGGGGGGTCTTCCACTATCCAGACAGTGCCCTAGCCACTTGACTACTGAATCAGTCTTGTTGTCTAGTCCAAGGACTGTTTCAGTATGGGTAAATAGTTAAATTATCATTGAGCCAGAGAGCGAGACTGGTTAGGGTATTCCCTGGCTAATGGGTGAAAATGAGTCCGGTACCCTTCAATAATATTGTACTTACGAAATTAAAAATCAAATACACAAATACAAAATGTGGCATAACTGGCAAAGCAGATCTGCCAAAGGATCTGCAGGATCTCGGAGAATACAGTGAATCACAAAATGGCTAGGAGGCAACAGTGCAGTTGCAAGGAAGGCTACTATCATAAGGAGGGTATTAGTAGATGGTTGCATGTAAGACAGGTGAGGTAATTATCCTGCTCTATTCAGCACTGAGACCTCAACTGGAATATTGTGTCCAGTTCTGTGCACCACACTATGGACAAGCTGGAAGAGTGTTTCTGTGAAAGTCAGTGGAAGGTTACACAATTTGGCAAAGTCTAAAGAATTTGTCCTGAGTCCAGTTCTGGTAACACTTTAGGAAAGATGTAGACACACTGGAGAGAGTCCAGAGGAGAGCAACAAAAATGCTAGACATTTTAAAGAACCTGCCTTATGAGTACAGAAATTTAAAAAAATCATGTGGGCATATACTGTCTCAGGAAAAATGACTAATGGGAGACATTGATGATAATCTTCAAATATGCTCAGGGCTGTTATAAAGAGGATAATGATCACTTTTCTCCATGTCCACAGAAAGCAAAACAAGAGGTAATCTGCAGTGAGCAGATTTAGGTTATAGATCAGGAACAACTTTCTAACTAAAAAGACAGCTAAGTATTGAACTGGATCATTTCTATGATTCTATATAAAAGGCATTGTTTGCTACATGAGTGCTAGGATGCCAGCAATTTTAAGCTAATACCCCAATGTGTAACTGTGAAATTTAAGTATCAGAGGGGTCTAGCATATCAAGAGAAGGGAGTTACTTATCAAGTGTAGGACCTGTGTTAAATAGGTGAATTTAGTCAGGGTGGATGTGGTTCACTTCTAGTGCAGAGATTACCCTGCTTTCTCATTTATTCTCACTAATTATGATTGATTTCACTGAGATTTTAATAGCTCCTTTTCTCAAATGATGTAATAACCACAGTCTCCATGTCAAGAATGTGTTGTCTACATTTGTTTTTCAGCAAATACTGTACAATTATCATACAGGTTGGCATGTGGACAGATAGGATGTATTGTAGATTTATGGGTTTCAATAATCAGGGCCAGAACTTGAAATTGAGGCCCTTCCCTAAGGTTAAATATGTAATAAGGTTAGAGATCCTCAGGCAGCTTAACCTCCTCTATTTCCACAGCAGCAGGGATTTTGTATTTTGCTGAGTTCAGAACTGAGAGTTACGTAGCTTTAAGACACATTAACTAGCTGTCACACATATGAATACATCTGTTTCATGGCATGTTTCTGGGTTTCAGCTAAGGATGTGAAAAATTAACTGGTAATCAGTGGGGACTGGAGCAGCTCCCCACCTGCCACTGGGAGAGGGCTGCTCCAGCTCACGAGGGGACCACCACAGACAGGGGCTGCTCTCACCTGGAACAACCTCTGTTTGCGGGGAGCCCAGTTGCCCCGTAGGCAGAGACCTCTGTCCACAGAGAGCCTGACCCGCTGTGGACAGGAGCTGCTCTGGTGCAGAGCAGCCTCTGTCCGTGGCAGGCCCAGGTGCCCCACAGAGGGGGGCCAGAGCAGCCTCTGTCTGCGAGGGGACCACCACAGACAGGGGCTGCTCTCACCTGGAACAACCTCTGTTTGCGGGGAGCCCAGTTGCCCCGTAGGCAGAGACCTCTGTCCACAGAGAGCCTGACCCGCTGTGGACAGGAGCTGCTCTGGTGCAGAGCAGCCTCTGTCCGTGGCAGGCCCAGGTGCCCCACAGAGGGGGGCCAGAGCAGCCTCTGTCTGCAGTGAGCCTGAGTGCCTCTTAGGCAGGGGCTGCTCTGAAAGAGACTGGGAGCCACGAGCAAGTGCGTGGCAGGCCCAAGTGCCCCATAGAGGGGGTCCAGAGCAGCCTCTGTCTGCAGTGAGCCTGAGTGCCTCTTAGGCAGGGGCTGCTCTGAAAGAGACTGGGAGCCACGAGCAAGTGGCAACTATAGCCCCCCACATGAGAGCTGGGAACCATCAGCCAGCCCCAGTGTGGGGCTGGGAATGGGATCCCCGTGGGCTGGGGTCTGCTCCAGGTGGGTTGAAGCAGTCTGTCCATCCCCTCCCCCCCACCTGCATCCTGCTTAGTTGGTTAAATGTTAGGTTAACCAGGACTTTACATCTCTAATTTCAACAGATTCAGAACCTGTAACAAGTCCACTTTTATTATACATTCTGAATAGCTCAGTAAGTGATGTTTTAAAGTTGTGTAAAAATTGGTTTTATCAGTGAAATTGTAATAGATTAATTGGTCTGAGATTTGTTGTCAGTTTGTTACTTTTCAGTGATACAGCATTTCACACATTATATAATGTGGATGACATGGTTAGAGATTAAAGGAAATTTCTTCTGGATTAGGTTACTCTTTGCTTATTAAACATGCATATAAAAGTGATTTGGTTTTTATTGTAGAGTTTTCTTGGATGTTAATTTGTATTGATTTATAATTTTAGGTTGTTAAATGATTAATAGATGGTATAGGAAAGAGATGTGTTAATTAATCTTTTCTTATAGTAAATGTAGGATACTGATGATTTTTCATTATTCTTAAAGTGCAGGTTTGGATGTACCAGTTTCAAATGCAAGTTGTTTTATTGCTGGGAATAGGGTGGCTCCCATGGAAGAAACTCCAGTCAAAGTCTAAGTGATTTATATTAAGGAAGTGACTCAACTGTGGTAGTTATGGTGGTTTTGCTACTGGCAATCTCTGTAATTGCTCCTGAGTCTAGCTATAAATTTAGGGAAAATAGCTACAAATAAAATACACCTCATGTGGTCTTCTTTGCCCACACGGAGAAGCTTCTCTGCTCACCAATGTTTGCTGCCGTTTTAACCTTCCAACGTGGATAGAGGATGACATGGATAGCCTGCTTGGGAACATATTTTGTTGATTTGTCTCTTAGTTCTACTTTTTATGGGGGAGTGATACAATTTAGAGGCTTCAAGGAAGAAGTACATTTTAAAGTTCTCTATAAAGAAACAAGAATTGAAGAAATCAGACATGACTAGTAATTTATAGTGGCTTTTCTTCTCCATTTCCTAAATCTACCTTTTATCTGTCTATGATAGTGCTTGCTTTCTGTTAGGCACTTTCCAGAGAGACTAGAAGGAAAAGTCTCTGTGCAGGGGAGCTCACAATTACAGCTTAGATTTACGTGCACTAGCAGACACATTTAGGAATGGGAAATAACACATACTTTCCTCCCCCACATCTGTATTATGGACTGGTACTATTTGTGTTGGAACACTGTATCTCACAGCTATTGCTGAGAAATGTTTAGCTGTGCAGACCCTGAGCTCTCCTAGCTGAGGAGTTAGGGTTAAAGTGGAATAAATGACAGCCCTGGCCTTGGAGATTATTACATACTCCTATGGGACAGCATCTCAGATTAAACAGGTGGTTGCAAATGTAACATCTATTCCTAACTAAATTGAAAACAATGTTTCCTAATTATCACCCAATTTTTCTGTGCAATTGGGTAATAAAAACATCAGGCCAGTTGGTGTATTTGTGGTGAACCGTTTGGACTTCCTAGGAAGGCAAAACAGAGATGAGGAACAGATTCTTAGACCTCACTTCTAGTTTGTCAGGGGACCAGTCTTTGTGAGGGAGCTGTGCAACTGTAGCCAATCAGATGCCCAGACAGTGTACTGTCTAAAAGCCAAACAGCAGTCATGCCCTCTGCAGCCTGCCCACTAATCCTGCTGGGACACTACAGCTGCCAGCAACCTCAGGCAGCACTAACTTGCTGCTGGAAGTTTCCCTCTACTGCTAGAACAGGTGTCTTCATGCTAGCGTACGTCCACTGCTTGTAACATTTTTATCAGCGTAATTACCATACCATTTTAAATGATTTGGTGAAGACTGCAAAGTGCCCCGTGGGAAACCACAACCCAGGTACGGGAGGGAGGGGGGAGTTAATTCACAAACTCTCCTTGTGCTGGGGAAACGAATTCTTTTCCTCATAGATGCTGTTGACGATGAGTCCCCGGGGACCAGCATGCAGGGAATTACTATCTTTCCAGCGACAAGGTGGGAGAGGACTGGGAAAGGTTTCACTGGAACAAGTTCTGCTGCTGACAGAGACAAGCTTTTGAGCTACACAGAGCTGAGCTCCTGCGCGGGGCTGAGACAGAGCAGGCCGGGCTGAGGACCCAGGAGCTTTCAGGGCAGTTGGCTCGCGATCTCCTTCCCACCGCGGCACGTGCCCCGGGACTGGAGAGCGCCTCGTTCAAAGGCTGAGGGAGGCCCTGGCAGGGGACCCTGCATTATTCTTGCTTCCAGCTGGCGGCTCCATGGCTCTCGCCTGCCCCCGCGGATCCCAGAGCACTTGAGCGCTAGGCAGGAGACGGGCTTGCTCCTGGCTTTGGTGCGTCTGTCCCGCTCCTTGCTAACGCCCTTGGGCCGAGCCAGGGAGCCCGTTGGGCTCTGGGCAGGGCCGCGGCCGCAGTTGTGCAACAGCTCCGGGCCCCACCTGGGCTCGGCCCCTCCCAGCTGATCGCGCCTGCTGCGCACGAATAAGAAGCGCTCGCTGTGGGCGGAGAAGCGGCAGCAGCTCGGTGGGGCCGCGCATTCAGGGCTCCTACAGCGCAACAGGCAAGCGGCCGCGGGGGTCAGGGCGGGGGGAGCCGAGCCGTGAGCGAGAGCGCCCAGCTGCGCAGCCCCATGCGGAGCGGCCGCGGGCTAACGGGGGCATTTCTAGTGAGTCTGCCCGCTCTGGCGGTCGCACCCGCTGCCCGGGAGGAACGTGGGTCCGGGGAGGGCTCCGCTCATTGGCAGCTGCCCAGCGGCGCTCCGCGCGCAGAGCGAAGCCCGGGCAGAGACGTGGAGCTGCCCGACACCCCTTCGCCCTCGCCGGGCTCGGAGTCGAGCCCCGTTTCGCTCAGGCCGGGTGGAGCCGGACCCCTCGCCCAGCCCTGCAGCCGCTGAGGTCGTTGCCTGCCTTCGCAGGGAGAAGCCCTTCCCCTGGGGCAGGGCGCTCGGAGGCATGCGCCGCGCTGTGCCTGGGCCAAGATACCAGCGCAGAGCGAGTGACTGCCAGCTGGGACGTCACGCCTACTTTGAGTAAGGGGGGAGGGGGTGTTAAATGGGGCTGCAGGAGTCATCTTCTCTTCCCTTCCCTCCTCCCCCCGCCCGAGCTCCGAAAGTATGACGGGAAGTGTAACTTCTTGTGAAACAAACGGGCTAGGGCTGCCAGTTTGGGTTGGATTCGTTCTTGGAGGTGCCATTGCATGTCATCTGTGAGCCCTGGTGCACTGCCTCGTTGGGAGTTTGCGGCTGTGAGACTTACACACTTTGTGAGTGGCCCAGAGCTTCCGAATCACTCTCTTCTCTCTCCCCCCTTCCCCCCCAGTCAGTTAGCAAAACGCCTGGCAGCGTTGTCGCTTTCGTTCCCCCTCCCCAAAATAGTATGATGAGATCTGTTGATTAGGGTAAGTACCCATGCTATAGAAAAACTCTCCCCGAGAGGTAGGTTTTAGTATGCACAAGATTAGTGAATGTTCATAATAGGAGTGTGCCCATGTCCAATTCAGTAATCTGAGCTGTGTACCCTATAGAATCAGCATTCTGGTTTAACAGTGTTAATCTGTGGCCAGCTGTGGAGAGCCCTCCTTTCTAGCAGGCTCTTCATTGTGTGGCTCTTTGAACATGTGCTGTTTTTTACATGACTCTTGGTTGCCCTACATAAAGTAACTTAAAAAAAAAAACTCCAATGGTCCTAAGAAACCATTAGAGCACTTTAGAGACTAACACAAATATACAAATAGTATCATGAGCTTTTGTGGGCACAGCCAATTCTTCTGGTGCGTAGTCATCCCCGGATTTCACAGCTTGCTTTGGAAGTATTTATTCTGTGATGTGTTGCTGGGCCCACCCAGTCTGTTGGCAGGAGTTTTGTTCTGATGATGATTTTTCGCATTTTGTATGTTCTGTTTGTTGCTGGCGATATTCCTCTGCCCTGAGATAGGGCTCCTTTTAAAGCAGGGTTTTGCAATAACCACGCCATGGCCTGGTACAATCCCTGCAACTTCCCTTACACAGTTTAGGAAGGCAGCAAGGCAGTCCCTTCCCTAATATAAAAAAAGTTGAGAAACCTAAAGAACCTACCTCAGTTTACATGATACTGAATTACTACCAAACATGCTGTTTAGTGTTGTCAGCTCTTTGGTGGATTAGCTAGTACATGTGAGGTGCTGGTGGAGATGAATACTTATTAAATAAATGGCTGAATGTCTACAAGGGGCAGACTTCATGTTTAGCATATGCTGATATATGAGTGTAAATGTGCCCCTTGATTCACTGTTAAGATAGCATTTGTGCAGTTGACCCACTTAGGTTTCATAGGCCATGTTTTTGCCTTACAAATTGATGGAAGGCAGAGCTGTTGGGGGGCCCAATCCTGTAAATCTCTGCTCCTGTGCATGACGTTGGTGGGAGTAGTTCTTCAGAGGTCAGTGAGACTACCATACCACAACAGTTATTGGAGCAGAGGTTTTATAAATCAGGAGTTGAATTCGAAACAAAAGGAACCTCCCCCTCCCCCACAAAAAAAAGTCCCATGCCAGCAAGGTTTTGATCACTTTAATTTGAACAGTGTTGTTTAGTGGATAGAGCACTGGATTAGGATTCAGAAGAGCAAAGTTCTAGTCTTGACTCTGGCTGGCCTGGTGGGTGACCTTGGGAAAATCACTTTGTCTCTGGGAAACTGAGTCATATATCAATAAAATATGACCAACAATACTGACTACCTTTGTGAGGTGTGTTGAGATCTACTGATAATACAATTTACTCATGTGTGTAATAAAAACACCTAGCTCATCTATGCCAATTTTTTGCAGGTTTGATTGTTAGGTCTAGTTCCCCTGAAAACCAGTTGCTGAAATACTAAAAGCCTACCTCTGTGTTGATAGCAAACCTTGTCAGGCTACAGAAATAGGTCCTAATGTTAAGATTTTTGGGTGGCCAGGAGTGGAGTCATTGAATTGGAGCAACTTGAGGGAACCATGGCATGTAATGGTTTGGGAGATAGGAGTTGGCATGCGGTAGCCTTCGGAAGGCCCATTCAGTAACAAACCCCTTTTCCTCCGTAGTACTTGTGACACTTGCAATCCTTAGAACAAAGAGTGACTTTTCTGTTGACCAATAAAGTCCATTTCTCGCAGTTGTGATAACTAAAATTATGAATATTAACCACAGGCAAATTGCCCCTTTCTGCTCCCCTCAAGACCTGAAAACTCACTGTCCTTTAACTATTCATACAGTCTGAGCTCACCAGTAAGGTTTTCAAACAGGAACTTTTTATGGCAGTTTAGCATAAACTGTCTTCTGGGGGTGGTGAGGGCATTCCAAAAGCTGGGAATTATTTAAGCAGTGCAGACACAATCCATCAGTCACATGAACTAGCATCTCTAAGGCTATATCTAGACTACGTTCTCTTTCGAAAGAAGAATGTAATTAGGCAAATAAAGTGCAACTGAAGCGTGGATTTAAATATCCCATGCTATATTTGGGTCTGACCACTTTTTGGAAAAAAGTTTTTTGAAAGTGAAAGCACAGTCTAGATGCAGTTCTTTTGGGAAAAAAACCCTTTTTTGAAAGAACCAGTACTCCTCTGGGAAAAAATGAGTACGGGTTTTTTGAAAGAACTGCATCTAGACTGTGCTTTCACTTTCAAAAAACCCTTTTTTGAAAAAGTGCTCAGATGTGAACATGCAAATGAAGCATGGGATATTTAAATCCCCGCGTCATTTGCGTTTTTGATTTGCCTAATTTAAAATTGGGACACAAAATACAGACTGTGCCGGGGAAACACATTTATTATGGTACCTCAGCAGCATAATTAAGCTTAAAGGGACATTTAGTGTTTTAAGATTCCAAAAATCTGGAGGAAAAACATTTGCAGGAGAACATGCCAATCCTATTTAAACACTTGGTTAGTACCATGATAGTATAGTTTACCAGAAATGAAGTTTTAGTAGATAGGTCTGAGCCAGACTGACACCCAAGTTTTTGTGCTGTATTTGAGTATATATCAAAGTACATGTCCGCAAAATGACAGCGGGAAAAGAGATTCTAAAACCTTACTAAAAGCATTGTTAAAATAAATATTCATTTTTCTGAGAGTGACAGCTACAAAGCAACGAGTAGTTTCTTTTACTAGGCGATTTGCTCTAAGGTGCAGAAATTAGACATATCGCAATTGCTAATGAAGCGGGGATTTAAATCTTCCCCTGTTTCATTAGCATAAAAATAGCTGCCGCTTTTTTTGGCACGGAGCTTTGCCGGAAAAAAGCGCCTGTCTAGATGCGGATCTTTCGGAAAATAAAGCCTTTTCCGAAAGATCCCGTAACCCTTATTTTAAGAGGGATAAGGGATCTTTTGGAAAAGGCTTTATTTTCCGCAAGATCCGTGTCTAGAGTGGCGCTTTTTTCCGGCAAAGCTCTGTGCCGAAAAAAAGCGGCAGCCATTTTTATGCTAATGAAGAGGGGGAGATTTAAATCCCCGCTTCATTAGCAATTGCGATACGTCTAATTTGCATCCCTTTTTCGGAAAAGGGATGCAATCTAGACGTAGCCCTTGTGTACAAGGATCCTAAAAACATTTGGGGTTTTTTAGCTGTTACTATTCAAGAGAAAGATCTTGAAGCCATTGTAGATAGCTTTCTGAAAACATCTACTCACTGTGCAATGGCAGTCAAAAAAGCAAACAATGTTGGGAATCATTGAGTAAGAGACAGAGAATAAGACAGAATATCTTATTGCATCTGTATATATCTATGGTATGCCCACATCTTGAATACTGCAGAAAACAAATTAAAAACAAAGTGATACTCTCTCATGGTTTTTAAATGCTTTGAATTGGCATACTGATCCAATCATAGTCTGCAAGAGAAATATTAATTTGCAGTGTTTTCTAGGAAGGATAGATATTTGCCCTTGAAAATATCCTACTTTTTTGAAGGAAAGGGATGTTTCCCCATGGCTGACAAAATCCTATCTCAGATTTTCAGTTTAAATACTGTCAATCTTGGTTTGGAGATTTCAGGGACTACATAGTTACTAAATGGGTGGTTTATTTTAGGAATCTGCAGAAAATTTTCAGGCCTCCAAGGCTAGGTCTACACTGTTGCTCTTTTTTCTGATTCTTTTGTCAGAAAAGGTTTTTCTGACATTTGGCCCATCTAGACTGGGCCAAATGTCAGGGGAAAAAACCCTCTTTTGGAAGTTCCCGGAACAAGGACTACAGGGACTTTCAAAAGAGCATGTTTGCTCTTAATGTTGGCGTATTGTGGGGCCATGCGGGTGCCCATAGCAGTGCCACTGGTCTGGAGGTATATGTTGTCACCAAATCTGAAATAGTTGTGTGTGAGGATAAATTCACAGAGTTCAGCCACCAGTTGTGCTGTGGCATCATCAGGAATACTGTTCCTGACAGCTTGTACTCCATCTGCATGTGGGATGTTTGTGTAGAGAGCCTCTACATCCATGGTGGCTAGGATGGTGTTTTCTGGAAGATCACCTATGCATTGTAGTTTTCTCAGGAAATCCGTAGTGTCACGAAGGTAACTGGGAGTGCTGGTGGCGTAGGGTCTGAGCAGAGAATCCACATAGCCAGACAGTCCTTCATGCATGCATCTGACGAAGTGGGTCTTTGCCCACGAAAGCTTATGCTCCTACACTTCAGTCTTTCTGTGTAATCTAGACGTAGCCAAGTGAGAGGTTCACTTGAAGAATAAACCTAATTTTTATTTTACAGGACTGTTTCCTGTGGCTCTGGCACAAGTATCAATTTTATAAGGTAAACGAAGTACCTAAGCAAGGCAGACAGTTTGTTTTAAGCCTTAAAGTAAATTGCCTGGGAGTGGCAATTCCTGTTCTCTCCAAGCCGTGCCATGGAGGATTACAGGGAAACCCTGAATTCTATAGTTTCCTGATAGGATGCCCTGTTAAGCATATTCTGTTTCCAGAACATGAGAAACGCAACATATAGATTTTCATCTAATGACATGACTTGAGGAGCTGAGGATATACTTTGTACATTCTTCTTTGAGTGGTCCCGGTGTGTGCTCCACTCTGGGTGCTGGACGCACCAGCACCCAGAGTGTAACACCCACGGGGACACATCTCGAAGAACCACCGTTACTGCACAAGATGAGTAACTCTTTCTTCTGTGAGCACCTATCCTATGCTCTGGTGGTGCTTATATTTAAAACAGTCAATTACCGTGAACTCTAGAATCCACTACCAACCAACCATAATTAATTCCCATAGCACATGTAGTCCCTCGTTTATTCTCACCAATGCCTTTCCTTATCTTGTAGATTCACATTTACTGAAGATGTTAAACATGGGAGTGGTATCCACCTGCTTCTGTGTCCATTCTTTTGTACACATGCCTAGACCAGGTGTGCATAAAATGAGCTATTACCAACTACACACTGCAGCCAGGTGTGCTGCTAAGGATTACTATGAAGTGCTGGTGCTGGGCGGCGGCAGCGGTGGAATCACCATGAGCTCTCGGCTGAGGCGGAAAGTGGGAGCTGAAAATGTGGCTGTTGTTGAACCAAATGAGGTAAAAATCCTTTTAAATGTAGAGAGCAGTACTGGCTTTCCTTACTTGAGGATGGTTTACGTGTGTTCTTTCTCCTTCCTTCCCTCCGTTATGCAATTGAGAATTACCAACCCAAGCCTACCAGCAGGAAAATACTGTGTAATACACCATAAAAATTGCCTTTAGCCATGGGGCATGTTGCAACATTTACAAAGCATGTATCTTTCTATACAGCTCCTTTGACATGCATTCTAGGTGAAGGTTCAGATTTTCAAAAAGCAACATCATGTTGTTCCAGAGAGGAAGGCAGGTGCCTCACACTTAGGGTAAGCAGCTAGCAAGTGTAGGGGAAATTGAGATGGAGTGGAGGTGGTTTTTTGAGGGGGAGGGATGGAGTTTAATAGGAATCCTACATAAGACAATGGTCCTGATTAATATTGGGACATATTGCCACTAGGGATGTCATAGTGTAGTTGATTAACCAATTAGCATTAACCTATAAATGCTGCTCTATAGCAAAAGCTTCTTAAATTGTGTTCTGCGGCACACCAGTGTGCCACAAGGCAGTCGGAGGTGGGCCGCAAAGATATGGTGACCATATGTCCCTTCTCTTTACAAAACAAGATCGTGTCCTGCACGTGAAGGACATAATTTTTTGAGGCTGTAAAAATGTATTAAAATGCCAGTCAGGGTATTCAAAATTTATATGTAAGAAACTGAAAAAGGCAGCTAATATTTTCATAGTTTTTATATTTATATTGGAGTACCAGCAATGTTAAATGCTCTAAAAGTTCTTTCCGTGTTGCAAGAACCCAGGCACTAACTTGAATAAGCCTGGCCTCCTCCATCCATAGGTGGCCTCCACCACTGCCAGAGGGGCAGAGGCGCTGGTTGGAGTCAGTGAGCCGCTCCTGGGAGCTGCCACCAGAGTCCTGGCAGAGACTACGCAGAGCCCGGCTGGAGCACTGCAGAGTGGGGAACATTCGGGCTCTGTCAGTGTGCTCTGTGCACGGCCCTTTCTCTTCCCCCACCTCTCCCCCACTTCCTACTCTGCTGGGGGAGCAGCAGTGCATGGACCCGCTCGCTCTGACGCACTCCACAAACCAGATCTGGGAGAGTGGGGGCTTTCTCCCCTCCACCCTGCCCCCACACACTCCTCCTAATGGGAGCCAAAGCTGGTGCTGGGACTGGAATGTGGCAGTAACATTAGCACTGCAGGCTGCCCAGCTCCAGGCCTGGCAAGCGGTACTGCCTTGGAAGCAGCTGGGGCCAGAGCTGCGTGGACTTCTGGAGCCTGACCACAGACTCCAGCCCCGCAAACTGGAAGGCAAAAAGTGGGGAAGGGGCTTGGAGAGAACTAGGGGGAAGGAGGGTGGGAGAAGAAGGGGCTTGTGCTGAGGGGAGGGTGGCAGGGCAGGAGAAGAAAGGAGAAGGCACCAAGGGACAGGGTGGAGGAGAGACAGATGCCAGGCGGCCAAGTGGAGACAATGAGGAAAAGGGCAGGAGGAGGGAAGGGAGGTGTCAGTGGGGGTGGGAGGGTGGAGGGGACAGGGTGATGCTGGGAGAGGAGAGGGGAAGAGCATTGGGGGCAAGAGGAAACAAGGGGAGAGGAAGGTAGTGGGAGAAGGGTTGAAAGGAGGGGTGGGCATGAGGAAGGCGGGATGGAGCAAGTCACGTGTGAGAGCACAGAGGGCATGAGAGAAACTGGGGCAGAAGGTGGTGAGGAGATGGGCATCAGGGAGAAAGGGGCTGGGGCAGTGAGGGAAGGAGGAAGCACCAGGAAGGTGCAGGGGTAAGGGAAGGTGCCAGGGGATTCTGGGGTGAAGCAGAAGGGCAGCCACCTGCAGGGGAGAGACCAGCACAAGAGGAGAGAGGGTTTGGTAGGGGCCAAACTCATCACCTGTGGGTAGGAGGATAGTGGGAAAAGTTCTTAGAGGTGGTTACTTTTACTTCTGGTCATGTGTCCATCTTGACCCCAAGACTCAGGGGCATAGTAACCAGAATCTATGGTTAGAGATCAGGAGGTGTAGGCAATGTGTCCCTAACTTTGATTCAAAGGGGCAAGCATCCCCCATTTAAAAAAAACTATTGTTTGGTGTTCCTCTATCTTAAAAAGTGTAAGAAACGCTGCTATAGAGACTACATGCATTTCCCCCTCTCCCCTGCCAGTAAAGTTTTTAGCAGGCTGGCCAGCAGCCCGGCCAGCCGCCCTGCTCAGTCCTGGCTCACACTGGGTCTGGGACCTACACCTGCTGTGGCTCTGCATTTAAAGGGTATTAAGAACCAGGTGGGCAGGCAGCCCAGCTCAGTTCTGGCTTGTACTGGGCCCAGGAGTCAGACCCAACCCTGGACAGGGGTTGCTGCTACCCTGTTCTGCTGCCTCTGATATAGCCAGTGCACTCCAGCCCCACTCCCAAGGAGCCCCCTGCTACTCCATGCAGGCAGCCAGCCCACAAGGGGAGCTGGTTTTTAAACTGGCTCCCCTTGTAGATCATCTCCCACCTGGCACTTTGTGTTGCTGCCTCTGCTATAGAGGCAGCAGCATGGTGTGGCAGGGGTCTCCTTGGGAGTGGGGCCAGAGTGCACTGGCTGCCAGCCCCCCCCTTGGGAACCATAGAATAGTCGAGTAACTGATAAGAATTCATGAGGTTAATTGACTATTCAGTTAACCAATATTTAACATCCCTAATGGCCACCTTACTCACACCCTGCCTTAGGACTAGGGTATGCAATCAATTGATTGGTGGGCAATTACGCAGTCATTCTTGTCCTTGTGTTTATGAACTTTGTGACACGATTGGAAAGTTTATCTTCTAAGAAATGAAGTATTTTCTTGGATTCCAAGGTTACGTGTCTCATGCACTGTATCAGTCAGTCTTTCTCTTCCTAATTATCTCAACAGGCAGTCAATATCCCTATCTCTAAGGGATCATGAGACACTTTTTCCCTACTTTCCCTGGGCCTCAGTAGCTTACCTCTGCAATACTGTCCTCTGTTAAATGAAGGTAAATGGAGATGTGAGTTCTTTCTTTCAGAAACATTATTATCAACCCCTCTGGACATTGGTTGGTGCTGGTGCAAAACAGCTGGCAGCCTCTGCACGTCCAACAGAGAGTGTGATTCCTTCAGGTGTAAAATGGATCAAATCTAGAGTTACAGAGTTGGATCCAGACAAGAACTGCATCTATTTAGCAAATGACAAAAAGGTAAGTGACAATGATGAATATCGGTGAGCCTTAAAATGGTATCAGAAAAATTTGCTTCTGATTTCTCACTCCATGGAGCTCCCATAAATACAAAATGAATTTCCCATCCTGTAAGGATGCCATGGCAATGACATGCTATGCTATTCTACAAATCTTGAAAATACTTGTTATACTGATTGTATTATAACAATTGCCTGTGTGTGGTTTTAAACCACCAACCAAAAAACCCTCCAGATCAATACTTGCCACCTGGAGAGAAAACTATCAGCATGTGTTAAATTGGATACTGCAAAAATATGAAATCACCTTGCTGAACAAGGGAGTAAATTTTTTGAATGTTCAAAGTATTTTTCATCGTGATGGAATGCTTTATTTCATGCCTTAGCATTCAATTTATACTGCTTTATTACCTAGTTATTAGGGTTTTTTAAATAATGAACATTGCCTCAAAAGGCTAATTTGTCTAAAATGTATTTTTTTTCTTTATACTGTAGATATCTTACAAATATTTGATAGTTGCCCTTGGACTTCAGCTGCATTACGAAAAGGTATTCACTTTAAACCAAATACATTATGCAATTAATACCAGTAATAGAAATTGCACTGTTTACTTTGATCTCTAAATGTAATGGCTTTTCAATACAGTATATAAAGTGTAACTAGTTTTTGCAATAATAGCTTTCTTGAATGAATAGTCAGGTCTTTCTCTTTGTATATGCTTTAAATTGCACTAAATAGTATGGGCTCCAATTTGGGGCCCTTCTCATACCAGTAAACATAAATCACCTTTTTAATCCCAAGACAAAGCTGTCTTATTTCTTCATTGTGCCTTTCCAGAGATCACATGGGTGTACACAATGTATTACATATAGAAATAACTCTTGGCTGGCTGAATCAATAAAATGTATGATTGCAATAGCTCTCAAGGTCCAGTGATTTGCTTGATTGGGAGCCTAGCTTCATCAGTATTACCAACCCTTCTGGTCCATGCTAACAGAATTTCTTCCTGAAGAAGATTTGCAACTGGTGCAGCTGCCTGCCACCCTACTTACCATGGGCCAGGCATGACAGACTGGCAGGATCTCCCAAGTGTGACATTGATTAGGGGCAGTTCCTGCTGGGGTGTGTGTAGGGGGAGGGGTACTATGGAACCTATTCTGGAACTTGGAATGTGGTAGTGTTAGGCTGCAGTAGTCCAACTGGTACTGGTGGCAAATCTAGCACAGGTACTTTTTCCAGTGCCACTTTCTCTTAAATCATTACATTGTATCAGGCAAGTACAGTCTAAAGTGTTGAGCCTATAGATATTGGTGTGGGAGGTATATATGTAATCTACATGTAATGCTCTCCTAAGCCTGGGTGACACTGTGATAAATGATACTCAGTGGAGCTGTGGTTCTTCAAAGCACAGTGGAAACAATTTATTTGAATAATCACTTTTGAGTGAGAAGCAGCTTGTTGCTTATCTTAAGTAAACTACCTCCTCCGTAGATTAGTTCTAGTCTGAAACCAAACTGAATACTATTCAGTGTGTGTCAATGGTTCTGTGGCACAACCTGATAACGACATGTGCAATGGATACCCAGGGAAAGTGGAGTGTGGTTAAAACCAGTCACCACTTGTTGAATCTTGTTTATAGCTAGATCTCAAACTATTTAGGTTTTTAAATAATCAAATGATTAAAATAAAGTTTTCAGCTACCAATTTAGGAGAGAGATTGCATGGCTAGCATTTTGCAACTATACTTAGCCATCCAACCTTTCTCTTATTTGTGGCCTAGCAAGGGGGGCAGGGCTGGGAGCCTGGGCTGGCAGGGGTTGCCTGCCGAGGGGACCACAAGCTGTGCGGTGCGAAGCCAGGTAGGCTGGGAGCCACATGGCATGGAGGCAGGCAGGGAGGGTGCAGGAGGAGGTGAGGTCGGGGTGCTGGGGGTGGCCTGCCGGGGGG